TTCCATAATCAAGTTTACTGATTCTTTAAACTTGCAAATCATACGTACCGCTGGTAACTGGAGTCAAACTACTCTCACGTTTGATCGAAAATGGTCGAATGCTGGCCTTCGTTTGAACGTTTCTGAAGGGGAATTCTTATACGCAGTTTCAAAATTTCAACCATTTCTTCTAGTTGGACTATGGCAAGAATCTACCAAGGAAATTTTCCTTTTCATAAGAAGTAGTTTTTTAAAACGTGAAAACGGTGTAATCATTTACGCTCCGTTGAAGTAAGGTTGCCGCTGATTGGTGCCGAGACATCAAAAATCAATTTTCTGGTTCTGTGTGAGGCCGGTATTGATTTAAAGTTTTTGCCACAAACGTACTTCAAGTTTGCTTTCAGCAACAGAAAGCACTATTGTCTGCGATCGATAGCCTGGCCATTCATTCCGCAGTTGTCGGTGTTAAACGTTGGGTGTGGTCGGCTGACTGAGAGATGACTTTCAAAATCATTGGACTCAACAGCAAACACTTGGACAGCGGTAATTTTTTGACATGTGTTTTTTACGGTACTTGGACAGCCGATTGTCTGTCTCTGCTGTCAGCTGTTTTGCAACGTGGAAATATGTGCCGGTACTATCGGTTTACTAGTTTACTAATAACTGCTAGTTTTTGATACCGTTGGTAAGAATAACAATCACCTGTCATTGTCACGTCGACTTAACAGAACGTAGTCGCACCGTCTCTGTCCCAGTTGCTTCTAGCAGCTGACGCGACACTGGCAGCCATTGGGCGGTACGGCTACTCCGTTCATATCCAGAGAATTGACAAGAGAAAGTTATGCAAGTTTTGAGTAAATATAGGGTGTTTAGCTTTCTTTGTGGGGCCGAGGTTGCTCACTCGTTGGAGCGTCGAACTGAGAACTGATGTAGAACTAAAAAATCCAGACTTCGAGTCGGAATGAATTCATTCACTCGCCTTTCTTCCGAAGTTGGTAAATGAGTACGACTCTACGAGAGACTCTAA